TAATAATTTGTACTATAGTATATTCCATATCGCATATATCGCCACTAAACTAGTAGTAAGTAGTTATAATTTTGATTACAATAAAATCCACCAATGTCCGAGTAAAGGCAAAGAAAAAGAGAAACAGATTAAAAGAAAAAATTAAAGTAAACAAACTAATGTAAACATTGATTTGTTTAACGATCTTATTAACCGTATAACCGTATAGTAAAAATAATATATAAAAAAAAAAAAGAAAATAAAAAGATAAAAAAAAATAAAAATAATTGTTCAGTTCTGTGGTAACGCCGTATGAACATTACTAGCCTGATATGTCTGCAAATAAGGTGTGAAATTACTAAAAGCTCTCGCGGGCGCGTTCTTTTCTTTACCATTTGGTCTATGAACACGAATGTGTTGACTAAGATTATCTGACCGAGAGAACCGTTTTGTACAGTGTGGGTGGGGGCAACAGAAAGCTAATAAACAAATTTTAAATTTTAATAAATTTTAATAAATTGTGAATAAAAAAAAAAATTTTTTTTAAAAAAATATATAACTTACGTCGTTCGAGAGTATGTATCGAACGAATATGACGTTTAAGATGCTCCGACCTCTTAAAAATTCGTCCACACCCTGCATAATGACATTCAAAAGATTTTGTTCCAGGTTTTGCAGGTTTATTCGTCATACGTCGTCCTCTTGATTTGCCAGTAGATTTTGTTGTTGTTGGTGGTTGTGCTGGTGGTGGTGAGGGTAAAGAGCCCATAATTGAACGATGAAAATCTTGTGGATCTTGAAACATTTCGTGAACTGATGAAACTGATGAAGATGGAATTCTACCACGACGTCCACCACGACTATTATTACTATTTGCTAACATTACTTCAGGAATAATATCCCTTTGTTCATTTATAATATGATGATGAGACATTGAAAGACCTGTCGGTGACATGATCGGTGATTGATCATGAGGTGAATCGAGAGGTGTAAGTGGTGTGGTAATGCTAGATGGATTACAGACTGTAAGATCAGCACAGTTATCTTGATGTATATTTCTTGACACGCTATAAAGAGAACATGATGATGGATCAAGAGATTCAGGAAATTCAACTTTTATCTTTGGTTCTTCCATAAACATGCTGTAACTGTCACTTTCTGGAGAAGAACAAGATGCCGTGTGTTGAGGATGGTAAAATTCATAAGGATCCGGAATATAATGCTCATCCAAGTATTCAGTAAAAGACATTCGATTATTCATATTTAAACAATAATCAGAAGCCGCCATTTCAACTTCTTTTTGATGATGATATGGTGGTGTAGAATGATGATGAAGAATAGGAATCGGTGGAACATTCGAAATCGAACAGAGATCTTGACGATAGTCAAGTTGCAAATTCGTAGGATCAGTAAGATCTTGCATATCGGGAAAACGTTGAAGAGATACCATGTTAAAAAAAGTCGTTCAGATTAAGCTGTAAATTATTCGTGATAGTTGTTACGTTACGAAAAAAAAAAAAAATTTTTTAAGAAACGTAAACACAGAAACTAATATCAAAAGGTTTTTAAAAAAAATAAAAGGGGTTAAGTCTCTGTGTTTCTTTTTTTTTTTTTTTTTTGTTTTTTTTTTTGTTTTTTTTTGATAAACGTTATAAACTGTCTTGTTTCAGATAGATTTTGCCAAGAGAAAAAACTTTCGTAAAGTTGAATAAAAGACGATTAAAGCGAAAAAAGTAAATAAAAAAAGATGAAAAAAAAAATTTGGTTTTCAAAGTTTTTCAAAGAGTCATAAAAAAAAAACCAATAGTTTTCATACGAAAATAGCAAAGTGTAGTTACACTTTAGATATCACTTTAACAACTATCAGTTTTCAACTAGAGTTGTTTTTTTTTGATTTTTTTTTTTTTTTTTTTTTTTGAATGTTTATTTCCTTAGAGACATACGAATATTATTATTAAAAAAATATTAAAGGACAAGAAAAGAAAAAAAACTTTTTTTCATAAATTTTTTTTCTCTCTTGGTTAAGGTGGAGAAAGCGTAACCTTTTATATTAATAATTTTGATGTTGCTTACAGTATTGCTGCAGTATTTGTTATAAAATAAGTAAAAATACAGAAATAAAAATTCCATATAATAATTTATATTATTAAATTAAATTATTAAATCAACTGTAATGTACGTACATCCAGTTTACTATAACTGATTATAAAATATGATGTACAAAATAAATAAATATTTTAAATTGAAGAAAATATGTGATATTACTATAATTATCAAATCATGATAAAAATGAGATACGTGAACTGTGAAAAAAAAATAACAATAAAAAAAAAAAAAAATAGAAATATTTACAAAGTAAAATAAACCAACTTTTAAAAACTTTTAAAAGTTGAAATAATTTATTATATATTATATATATTTCTATTTCGTTTTAAAAATAAAACTCTTATAAAGGTTTAATAATTTTTTTCATTCATTCTAGGTCACGTAAGTTCAACCTTGACCACATTACGACTGTCGTGTGTAGCAAAACATTTCATAACGACCAGAAATTTCTATGTTCGTGTTACTAGATTAAACATTTTCTTGCAGAGTTTTATACAACTCTGAATATGTATTCGAATAATTTTGAATTAATAGACTTCTGATAGACGAAGTTGTAATACAACAGACTTGATAGTACAGTAACGTAATAATAATATGTAATATATAGTAGTAATATGTAATATTATATGTAATAGTAAATGTAATAGTAAATGTAATAGTAAATAATAATAATATGTAATAGCGATAATAATATGTATAGTAGTAATTAATGTAGTAGTAACTGTAGTAACAGCTGTAGTAACATGTAAATATGTTTAAATATGTTGTAGCAATATGGGCTTAAATCTACACATAAAAAGCTAAAATTAAAACGAATAACTGGTGACTTTAAAGTATTATTGGTGTAAATTTGTGATTTTCCAACAAATTTTTTAATTCTTTTTTTTTTTCTTGAATTTTTTAAACGTTCATCATGAAGTATCCGTATAAGGTACGATCTATTGGTTAATTTTGATCGCTTTCTCTTATGGTAACAATCAATTAGTTTATATACCTGATTTTTATTCTTTGAAACACAACTTGGGTTTAACTGATGTATGCGGATTATTGAGGTCCCTCGAAGTATCTCAAAGCACTTCAAAGTTACCTAAAATTATTTAAAAGTATTAAATTGATACCCTGTAATATGTGTATATGTGTATATCACTCCGAACATCAAATTCGGAATTTAAAAATTACTTTGAATTCCATTCTATAGTTATCCTAATTTGATGTAAATATATGCGTGATACGCGTGAGCATCAGATATTAATAACTTTTTCATTCTTTATGTATGAAAAATAGTATTCGTATGTGAAAAAAACATTTGCATATGACCAATCGGTGATTAAAAGTGTCGTCATTATTCTTGAGATTTATTCTTGTGATTTTATTATTCTCTTGTGACTTTATTCTTCCCTTGTGAATTTTATTCTTTCTTCTTTCTTGTGATTTATTCTTTCTTGTGATTTATTCTTTCTTGTGATTTATTCTTTTTTGTGATTTATTCTTTTTTGTGATTTATTCTTTTTTGTGCTTTTTTGTGATTTATTCTTTTTTGTGCTTTTTTGTGATTTATTCTTTCTTGTGATTTATTCTTTTTTGTGTTTTATTCTTGTGATATTTTTATTATTATTTTTTTTTTAGATTTATTTTTGGGATTATTCTTGAATAATTTTCGGATTTTTTTTTTTTTTTTTGTAATAAAATAATAATTAAGTAATACATAAAGTTTCTTAGGCGCGAATCGTTTAATAAAGGCGCAAATTTTTTTTTTATATTACCCTACCATAAATAGTTATGAGTGACAAAAAGATAAATTAATCAACTAATCTAAGAATATATACAAAAAAAAAACTTCTGTGCATGCATGCTGCTAAGGAAGATTTTCACAGGTCACAGGTCGCAAAAAAGGTCGTTTTGGCTGACCGGCAATCGATTGTGTATCGGAAGGAACACTCTATTTCTGTCAGTTTAATGACACCAAATAGTCACTTAATAATTTTAATTCGTTGGACGAAATACCTATTATTAACTTTTTAAACATTATTTAATCAACAACATTTATTATTGCAGAGATGCGTTAAAGACCAACCAACGACGAACCAAATTTAAAAAGAAACCGTTCACAACATATAAACTGTTTGGTTGTACGCATAAATTGCAACAAAGAGGGTTTGTAGATTATAGAGATAAAAAATATGAAAACATAACCACTGACAATCGACACTTTTTCACAAAAACATATATGCAATATTTTGATTTATATTCATTTTTTATGCATATATTGAAAATAGGTTTGTTGCAAGTTTTATTCGTTATTCTTTTTTTTACATCTATCATCATGTGTATAAAATATATTAGTGAACACAAACTAGCCAACATGCATTTACAATCGAGTTTCATCATAAATTTACAAATTATTTTATTGGTTAATTCCCCGGATCATTATTATAAAAGAAAGGTAATTGTATTGGTTGTTGAGGAATTTCTACCAAAATTGGATTAACCAAACAATCACATTTGATGCATCTTGATTTACTGAGTAACCAATAATCTTTCGTCATACATATCTATCACTTACCAAAGTGAAATCGAAAAGAAAATAGGTACACGTTTTGATTTTTTCATGGGGATTTACTTGGCATCGGAATTGCATAAACCATTTATCACTTACTTGGGTTTATTTGCCGGTTTTGCTATAGTCGGTTGGTGGGAATTTCATCACTAGACGTTTTGCCAATCTTTGTGACTCATTTTAGGTTGGTTATTTTCCATATCTGTTCATTTATCATGATAGACTTTTTTGGAATGGATCGTTGCGATTTTCCACATTTCGTTGCATCAATGAAAATTTTTAAAAATAACATACTGTACGTATGTTAAATAAGTTGAATTTACTATTAAAATAATTTATATACGTCAAATTTATACATTATATATACAATTTATATAATATTTTTTATTTATTTTAAAGATATCATTTTTGTACAAGTCGTCATCTTAACGTTAAAAAAAGCTAATCATCTTAATAATCAATTATGATTAAATCAATTTCCGCATGATGAGATCAATCACTCTATCACTATGAATGTAATTAATAATTTAATGTATAGGATGACGTAGAGTAATGTGATAAGCTTGTGATAGCTATAATCAACATTTAAACCAGAGTCGATGAATTTATTTGCATAATAATAAAAAAAAATTAATTATAACAAATTTTCTTTGACGAAAGAATGAAAGATCGATTCTTTGATATTTTTGGATATATTGGACCCTTAAATTGTCGTGAGAATAGTTAATGTATCCCGAATGCGAATGCGATATGTAGTATATGTAGTAAATATTTTTAAAATAAAAAATATAAATAAACAATATATATACAGTATATATATATATACATATACATATACATATACATATACATATATATATATAATATATTTATTTATTTATTTATTTATGAAATAAGAACTAAGAGCCAAGAAAAACTAAGAAAAATGGTGTAAAGATTTCAATGCTTCAAAAAAAAAAAAAAAGAGAGAAAGATATCAACTAGTAATGTAATATGTAAGCAATTATACGTATATAAAATGAATTTTTAATACACTCAATATACTTAATATACTTAATATTAATACGTATACTTAATACATTGATACGTATAGGTTTTTTGAATATGATATTTTAGCATAAAGAAAGTCATGAGCTGATACATAAATGAAAATTATGTCAGATGAAATGTAAGAGCGTGGGCATAGCAGTGCTTTAATATTTTCTTAATCAGGATAAACGATAAACTTGTATAAATGAGAAATAATGATTTTTTTTTGAAAATCATAGATTACGTAAAATTTTATACATTCAAGATAACGAATATAATTAAATTACCATTTGCTTGAGTATTGTTTGGCGAAGTATCAACTATTTCCTTTTCTTCTCTACTATTTAAATTTACGCCTAATTGTTTTTATGCATTTACTTTTTTTTCGTCCTATCTGTTCTTTTATGCACCAATCAATAAACAAACAATAATTTTTTTTTAAAAAAAAATATGTCGAATAATAATTGTTGAACTTAACATTACTATCTGCTTCTTTACTGATTTATCGAAAAACCACTAAAAGTCAAGTCGTTGGGTGCAGATGTTAGCATAATGAAGAGTCCAATCATCTTTTACTGCACTCAAAGTCATGATAT